TTTGGGTTTTATTGTCTTAGTGGTGTCTTCAGTAAGGGAAATTGGGATACCTTCCTATTTATTTAGGTATTTTTTGAACATCTCAGTGGTGTTTTGTAGTTTTCATTATGTAAGTCTTGCATTCCTTTTTTAAAAAAATTGATTTTAGAGAGAGGAAGGGAGGGAGAGGGAAAGAGAGAGAGAAGGAGAGAAGCACCTAGGTATGTGCCCTGACCAGGAATAGAGTCCACAACTTTTTTTGGTGTATGGGATGATGTACCAACCAACTGAGCCACCCAGCCAGGCCTTGTACTTCTTTTTAAACATTTATTCCTAAGAATTTGGTTTGATTTATTCATCTGTTTTTAAGATATTTTTTATTGATTTCCGAGAGGGAACGGAGAGGGAGAGATAGGAACATCAATGATGAGAGAGAATCATTGATTGGCTGCCTCCTGCATGTCAGGCTGTGCCCTTGACCGGAATCGAACTCAGGATCCTTCAGTCTGTAGGCAGATGCTCTTATCTATTGAGCCAGACCAGCTAGAGCTTATTTATTCATTTTTTTGTATCTTTAATTTCTTTATTGGTTAAGGTATTACAAATGTGTCCTCATCCCCCCATTAACCCCCAACTTCCCCCCACCACACTCATGCTCTCATCCCCCTGTTGTCCGTGTCCATTGGTTTGGCTTATCTGCATGCACACAAGTCCTTTAGTTAATCTCTTCCCCTTACTATTCATTATTTTTTAAAAATGTTTTTATTTATTTTATTATTTTGTTAATCCTCACCTGAGGGAGGATATTTTCTATTGATTTTTAGAGAGAGTGGAAGGGAGGGGCAAAGACAGAGAGAAACCTCAGTGTGAGAGAGAGACCGATCGGTTGCCCTCGGCACACACTGACCAGGCCAGGGATCGAGCGTGCAACAACCAAGGTGGGTGCCCTTGACTGGAATTGAACTTGGGATCCTTTAGTCCATGGGCCAATGCTCTAACCATTGAGCAAACTGGCTAGGGCTATTTTTATTGGTTTGAGAGAGTGAGGAAGGGAGAGGGGGAAAAAAACATAGATGTGAAAGAGAAACATTGATCTGCTGCCTCCTGTGTACCCCTTACTGAGGTTCTAATCTGAAATCCAGGTATGTGCCCTGACCAGGAATCCAAACCAGCCACCTTTCCGTGTACGAGATGATGCTCAATCAATTGAGCCACATGTTTTTGTTATTTATTTATTTATTTATTTATTTATTTATTTATTTATTTTAATTAAATCTTTATTGTTCAGATTACATTTGTTCCTCTTTTTTTCCCCCCCATAACTCCCCTCCTCTCAGTTCCCGCCCCACCCTCCGCCCTCACTCCCCACCCACTGTCCTCATCCATAGGTGCACGATTTTTGTCAAGCTCTTCCTGCATCTCCCACTCCCCTTTTCCCCCCAAAAATAGTCAGTCCATTCCCTTTCTATGTCCCTGATTCATTATAATCACCAGTTCATTCTGTACATCAGATTATTTATTCACTTGATTCTTAGATTCACTTGTTGATAGATGCATGTTTGTTGTTCACAATTTGTATCTTTACCTTTTTCTTCTTCCTCTTCTTAAAGGATACCTTTCAGCATTTTGTCTAATACTGGTTTAGTGGTGATGAACTCCTTTAGCTTTTCCTTATCTGTGAAGCTCTTTATCTGACCTTCAATTCTGAATGATAGCTTTGCTGGATAAAGTAGTCTTGGTTGTAGGTTCTTGGTATTCATCACTTTGAATATTTCTTGCCACTCCCTTCTGGCCTGCAAAGTTTCTGTTGAGAAATCAGCTGACAGTCGTATGGGTATTCCCTTGTAGGTAATTGAGTCTCTTTCTCTTGCTGCTTTTAAGATTCTCTCTTTGTCTTTTGCTCTTGGCATTTTAATTATGATGTGTCTTGGTGTGGTCCTCTTTGGATTCCTTTTGTTTGGGGTTCTCTGCGCTTCTTGGACCTGTAAGTCCATTTCTTTCACCAGGTGGGGGAAGTTTTCTGTCATTATTTCTTCAAATAGGTTTTCAATATCTTGCTGTCTCTCATCTTCTGGTACCCCTATAATTCTGATATTGGTGCGCTTGAAGCTGTCCCAGAGCTCCTTACACTATCTTCACTATCTTCTTATTTTCGGATTCTTTTTTCATTTTGCTTTTCTGGTTGGGTGTTTTTTGCTTCTTCGCATTTCAAATCTTTGACTTGATTCTTGCGCTCCTCTGTTCTGCTATTGGGTGTCTGTATAATATTCTTTATTTCAGTCAGTGTATGCTTAATTTCTAGTTGGTTCTTTATCACAACATCGAGGGTCTCATTAGATTTCGTGAGGCTCTCATCAAGTTTATTGGCAGCTTCTAGCCCATTATTGAAAGCCCTCAAAAGTGCGTTTTTTAGCTCTGTATCCTCCATTTCTGTCATGTTTTTTTGTCTCCGCATTTTTTATGCTTTCTTGGTGCACCCCCTTGTGGTCTTTGTGTGCAGTCTTGTTCTAGTTAAGCCTTGATTGTTGTAGTTAATACTAGAGGGATTTTACCACCAGGCCGACTGGCTGTGAGAATCAGCTGTATCTGCAGTGGGAAAACTTCTGTCCTCTGGAGAAGTGCTAATCTAGCCTTTGCCTGAGGCTATCCGGCAAATGGCTCTGCGCAGGGCTTGGGCGTGGCGGGATCAACAGGGCGGGCGGAGGGAGCGGTTATGGCTGCTCTCAGTCCCGTTCCCAGAGGCTCTGCTTCTCAGAACCCCAGCAACCACTGCAAACCTCCGAGAGAAAGCTGCCCTCACGTTCCAACTGATGCCAGACAATCCCGCTTCTCCCGTTTGAGTCTGAGTCCCTAGAGACTCGCCCGGATCTGGAGCTCAGAGTCTGAGACTCCCTCCTGATTGAAAACGACAACCGCGCCCTCAGCCACCAGCCGGCTCCACGCGCACCTTCATACCTTTGTATTTTCCACACTGCGCCTCCTCTGAGCCTCGGTATGCTGTTCTCTTTCCTTCTAGTTGAAGAATCTCTCCTCAGCCAGCCTTCCTGTGGTTCTGGGTGATGTCCGTTTAGTCTTTTAGTTGTATTTTTGAAGTGGTTGTTTGCGGCAGCAATCTCCGGTGTTTACCTATGCCGCCATCTTGGTTTCTCCATCGAGCCACATATTTTTGGATGGTTCATTGTTGGCATATAGAATGCAGTGGGTCGGTTTCGGCTGATTTTGTAATCTTGCTGAACCTATTTACTTTAGTTATTTTTTATTTTGTAGGACTTTTCTATATACAAGGTTATGTCATTTGCAAATATAGTTTTTGTTTTTTTCTTTCTAATCTTAATATTTTATTTCTGTTTCTTGCCTAGTTTTCCTGGCTAGAACTTCAGTAGGGTGTTAAATAGTGAAAGTGGACATCCTTCTCTTATTACCGATCCTAGCAGTGGTTGGCAAACTCATTAGTCAACAGAGCCAAATATCAACAGTACAATGATTGAAGTTTCTTTTGAAAGCCAAATTTTTAAAACTTAAACTATATAGGTAGGTACATTGTTATTAACTTAATTAGGGTACTCCTAGGGCTTAGGAAGAGCCACACTCAAGGGGCCAAAGAGCCGCATGTGGCTGGCGGGCCACAGTTTGCCGACCACGGTTGTTGGGGTCCTGCCCTAGCAGGTCCAGGGGTTCTCAAAGGTGTGGATGGAGTCGGCGAAGAATGAAGGACATGGAGGCAGCCTTCAGTTGATCAGCATAGTAGCCAGGTTCTTTTTTTATTGTCCTGTTACATCTACATATTTATACCATTTGATCCTATAAGCATGCCTCTATAATCACATCATGGTATGTTTTGGGTAACGTCCTACAGTTCCTTGTTTCTTATCTGACCTTTGCCAAAAATCCTGTCTCTATCTAGTTCTGTTGATTTTAATCTTGTCTAGGTTAATCTCTGTGTTCCATTACAAGGGCTATTCCAAGGTCACTGCTCTAGTGATAGGCCACAAGGAAGTGACTGAAGGAGATTATCCTACCCAGTAAAGGTTATGTCCTCTCAGCCTCGCTGCTTGGCTTCCCTGGGACTGCCCTGTGTCGGTGGATCTCCAGGGGTATAGGCTTTGGTGCTTTCCCTGGTGGGCAGACCCCTGGGGATGTGAGCCCAGCAAGTCCCAAATTTATTGCCAACAGTCTTAGTTCAAGTTCTTCATAAGTAGTACATGGTATTTCTGTAACACTAGGGGGATTTAGTCCTGTTAATCCCTAACCTGGGGAAACAACCTTTCTCGGGGAGGTGGTCCATATGCTATATATGCCAGGGGGAAGCAAACCATATGCTATATATGCCAGGTCCCTTGAAACATAAGCTGTCCAGATGTTTCTTCCCTGCAGTGACTATGTCAAGCAGCAAGGGTGTTCCGGCTTCTGGCACACGATCCTAGGGGGAACACATTCAGTTTTTCACTATTATGTATGATTTTGTCTGTGAGATTTTAACATGTGCCCCTGATCAGATTGTTGCATGTTTTTTATCATGAAAAGGTGTTAGGTTTTGTCAAATGTCTTTTCTTTAAAATAATTTTTTTAAAGTTAATATTTATTGATTTTAGAGAGAGAGAGGGAGGGAGAGAGAGGAAAGAGAAAGAACAAGAGAGAGATATATCAATTTGTAGTTCCACTTATTTATGCACTCATTGGTTAATTCTTATATGTGCCCTGACTGTGGATCAAGTCCGCAACCTTGGCATATCGGAACGATGCTCTAACCCAGCGGTTGCCAACCTTTCGGACCTCACAGACCACCAGTGATCCGCAGGCCACTGGTTGGCGACTGCTGCTCTAACCAACTGAGCTACCTGGCCAGGGCTCTTTTTTTTTTCAGATTAAAAAAAACACGTTTATTGTTGAGAGGATTACAGATGACACCCCCTGTATCCCCCTCTTCACCAGGTTCTCACCCTGCCCCAAGCCTTTACCACCCTATTGTCTGTGTCCATAGGTAATGCATATATATGCATATAAGATCTTTGTTGTTTTTTTAAAATATGGAATGCTTCACGAATTTCGAGTCATCCTCACACAGGGGCCATGCTAATCTTTTCTGTATCGTTTCAATTTTAGTATATGTGCTGCTGAAGCGAGCACAGGATCTTTGGTTTATCTCTCCCTGCCCCCCTACCCTCTGGGGTTTGTCAGTCTGTTCCATGTTTCCATGGCTTTGGTTCTATTTTATTCATCAGTTTATTTTGTTCATTAGATTCTGTGTTCATTTATTTTTATTTTTTGATATAATTGTTGATAGATACGTATTTCTTGCCATTTTATTGTTTCTTCCTCCTCCTCCTCCTCCTCCTCCTTTTCTCTTCTTCCTCCTCTTTTTCCTCTTAAAGAATACCTTTCAACATTTCATGTAATACTGGCTTGGTGGTGATGAACTCCTTTAGCTTTTTCTTGTCTGTGAAGCTCTTTATCTGACCTTTAATTCCAAATGATAGCTTTCCTGGGTAGAGTAATCTTGGTTGTAGGTCCTTGCTATTCATCACTTTGAGTATTTCTTGCCACTCCCTTCTGGCCTGCAAAGTTTCTGTTGGGAAATCAACTGACAGTCATATGGGCACTCCATTTTAGGTAACTAATTGCTTTTCTCTTGCTGCTTTTAAGATTCTCTCTTTGTCTTTAACCCTTGGCATTTTAATTATAATGTGTATTGGTTGGGCCTCTTTGAGTTTCTCTTGTTTGGGACTCTCTGTGCTTCCTGGATTTATAAATCTGTTTCTTTCACTAGGTAGGGGAAGTTTTCAGTCATTATTTCAAATAGGTTTTTAATATCTTGCTCACTCTCTTCTTCTGCCACCTCCATAATTTGAATGTCAGTATGCTTGAAGGTATACCAGAGGCTCCTAACACTATCTTCATATTTTTGGATTCTTTTTTCTTTTCTGATTGGGTGTTTTTTGTTCCTCATATTCCAAATCGTTGATTTAATTTTCAGAATCTTCTGTATTGTTGACTCCCTGTTAATTATTCTTTATTTCAGTTAGTGTATGCTTAATTTCTGACTGGTCCTTATTCATGTCATTGATGTTCTCACTAATTTCCTTGAAATTCTCACTAAGATCCTTGAAAGTCTCACTAACATCCTTAAAGCTCTCATTAGGCTTCTTGAGCGACCTTATAACCATTGTTTTGAACTCTTTATCTAGTAGTTTGCTTGCTTTCATTTTATTTAGTTTTCTTTATGGAGATTTCTTCTGTGCTTTTATTTGTGACATGTTGCTTTGTCTCCACATTTTGGCTGCTTCCCTGTGATTGTTTCTGTGTACTAGGTAGAAACAGTGTCTCCTATAATTAGTAGAGTGGCTTTGTGTAGTAGGTGTTCTGTAGGGCACAGTGGCTCAGATAGTGGCTGACTTTGTACCTCCTGGATGGCCCCTGAACCAGTACACCTGGTGGACAGCCTCAGACCATACCAGATTACATCTCTACACATTCACAATCGACACACTCAAGAGGCAGACTCAGTGAGTACCAAAACCCCACTGAAGCCAGTCTTGCTCCATAAGGGTATAGTTGCAGCTGATCTTCACAGCCAATTGGGCTGGGGGTCAATTCCTCCCAGTGACGCCAACAGCAATAAAGGCTCAACTACAAGACTGTACACATAGCCCACACAGATGTTTCTTTCTCATGTGGGTGTTTCTCTCTTTCTCTCCCCCCCTTTCACTCTCTCTAAAAATCAATGGAAAAAATATCCTCGAGAGAGAATTAAAAAAATTAAATTTGGCCCTGGTTGTTTTGCTCAGTGGTTATAGTGTTGATCAGCAGACCGAAGTTGTGCGGATTCGATTCCTGGTCAAGGGCATGTACCTGCAGGTTCCTCCTGACCCCTGTTGGGGCATGTGCAGGAGGCAACCAATTGGTCTGTCTGTCTGTCTCTCTCCCCATCCTTTCCCTTTTCTCTACAAAAAATCAGTTGAACAAATATCCTTAGGTTAGGATTAAAAAAAAAAAAAAAGTTAAAAAAAATCCTCCCCTTGTTATTCCTCTGTGAGGTGTATGTGTGTGCGCGTGTGCGCGCACTTGTTTCTGTCCCACCCTGGATAGGCTCTCTGTCCTTTATACTTCCCAGAGGCCCTTCTGAGTTGGCCTGTAGGGTGTGGGGAACTCCCTGGGCAGGAGGCAGGGCCACAAGTTAGCTAGAGGGTCTCTCGATAGGTCCCTAAGCAGAGCCTCAGGGCCACTGATGCCCCCTGAGCCCCACACTATGGCCAATGGGACAGTTGTGGTGGCATCGTAACCTGGCTCAGGGCCTGGGTGGGATCCCCCAGCCCCTCATATATTGACCACCCCCCATGTGTTTGTAAATACTCTGGCATCCTTTGGCCCTGAGGAGTTTTTTAAATTTGTTACTTCTCTAATCATGACAATTGCTATAAAATAAAAAAATTAGAAAAAAAAGTGTCATTCCAAACTGTTGATGAAGATTTGTTAAAATTGTTACAGTTTTAAAAAAAATAGCAGCCTTGCTGGTATACTCAGTGTTTTGAGTGTCAACTCATGAACCAAGAGGTCATGGGATTGATTCCCGGTCAGGGCACATGCTTGGGTGTGGGCTCAATCCCTGATAGGGATGCACAGGAAGCAGCCGATTGATGGTTCTCTCTCATGGATGTTCCTCTCTATCTGTCTCTCTTTCTCTCTCTAAAATTAATAAAAACATATTAAAGAGAAAACATTAAAAAAAAAAAAAGAAGCCTGGCTAGTCTAGCTCATTTGGTTGAGTGTTGTCCTATGCACCAAGTGGTCATCAGTTCCTGGCAGGGCACATGTCCAGGTGCTGGGCTTGATCCCCAGTACAAGAGGCAGCCAATTGATGTTTCTCTCTCATTGATGTTTCTCTCTCTCCCTCTCCCTTTCTCTTGCTCTAAAAATCAATAAAAACATTTTTTTAAAAATAGCTTTTATTAGTATTTTATCTAATTTTGTTATATTTGTACTTTTCCATAGTAAATGTGAAGTTACTTAGTTAATTTCCTCTTCAGTTGACAAATAATGACAAAATGATAAAGATGAAGTGTCTTTTTAAAAAAATACATATTTTATTGATTTTTTTTACAGCGAGGAAGGGAGAGGGATAGAGAGTTAGAAATATCGATCAGCTGCCTCCTGCACACCCCCCACTGGGGATGTGCCTGCAACCAAGGTACATGCCCTTGACCGGAATCTAACTCAGTCCACAGGCCAATGCTCTATCCACTGAGCCAAACCAGCCAGGGCTGAAGTGTCTTACATAGAAAGGCAGCTTGGGATTATAGAGAGAATGTGGACTTTGGAATTGCATAAAACTTCACTGGAGACCAGACTGACTCCCATGTTTGTTTAATTAGATAATTTAGGATTTAATTTTCAAAACATTTTATAGAGTAAGAGAATAAGTTAACTCCTAGCACAGTGCATTGCATATGGCATTTGCTGCTCTTGTTAATTATCATACTTAAGTATATTGTGTACCATATGTCAGGCAGCCATGCTTTGTACTAAACACTTAATAAATATTATCTCATTTAATCCTCAGACCAACCCCATGAGTTGCTGGCACAGCCATTTATTCAGGTTTACACATTAGGAAATGGAAACTTAGAGAGATTAAGTGATTTCTCAACTGATGGTGCTGGTATTCCATTCAGGGCCATCTGGCTTTAGAGCATTTTCTCTGCCGTGCTGCCTCCTGTGTTGCAAAGGACTAAGGACATTGTTGATTATAGAATGTACTTTAAGTGGATACTTGCCTTGTAAATGGGAGATTAAAATGAGAGGTAGAAATTTGATTATTAGTTTTTCTCAAGTCTACTTGTCAGTTTGGTCTAAAAACATCAATAGAAAGACAAGTGTTATCTGCAAATCTGTCTTGTACTTCAAAGCCAAATGTTAGCTTCTGTCTAGTATGAAGATTTAATTTTTGTCTTACCTTTGAGTTATATCAGTTATGTTTTTACTAATAAATAACCACAATAAGTATAACTATGAAATAATGAAATATTCTTTGTCATGCCAGATGTTTCATTTGAAAATAGTTATTTGTTTTAAAAGTTGAGGCAAAATTTATGTAACTTAAATTTTATCATTTGAAAGTATATAAGTTAGCGACTTTTTTTTTAACATATTTTCTTTATTGTTGAAAGTATTAGATATGTCTCCTTTTTCCCCCCACTGACCCTCTCCAGCCCACCCCGGTCCCCTGCCCTGTGTCGTATGTATCATGAATATATGCATACAAATTCTTTGGTTAATCCCCCCCTTTCCCTCTAAGGCAGTGGTTCTCAACCTTCCTAATGCTGCGACCCTTTAATACAGTTCCTCATGTTGTGGTGACCCCCAACCATAAAATTATTTTCGTTGCTACTTCATAACTAATTTTGCCCCTGTTATGAATCGTAATGTAAATATCTGATATGCAGGATGTATTTTCATTGTTACAAATTGAACATAATTAAAGCATAGTGATTAATCACAAAAACAATATGTAATTATATATGTGTTTTCTGATGGTCTTAGGCGACCCCTGTGAAAGGGTCGTTCGACCCCCAAAGGGGTCGCGACCCACAGGTTGAGAATCGCTTCTCTACGTATGATTGACATACAAAAAGCAAAGCCCATACATATTTTAATATAATACATATTTGATGGAATTGAAAGAAAATAAAACACTTGGTGAAATTGGTAACCATATAATAATAATCAAACATTTATTATAAACTTCTAAAAGTTTCCCCCCTCTTTTTTAAGGACATTAAAAAATAAAAATTAATTTTCTTTTTATTTTATTTTTTTAGAGAGAAGGGAGGGAGAGGGAGAGAGAGAAAGAAACACTCAATGAGAGAGAAAGAGCGAAACATTAATCAGCTGCCTCTTGCATGGTCCCCTACTGGGGATTAAGCCCAAAACCCAGGCATGAGCTCTGACTGGGAATCAAACCTGTAACCTTATGGTGCACAGGACAACACCCAACCAACTGAGCCACACTGGAGCAGCATCTTTGTTCTGAACATAAGCTAACTCTAGGCTCAAGTTTAGTATTACCCATTGGTGACTTGATTGGTGACTTGATTGTTGATTGTTATTTGTGCCAATTAAAGAAGAATAGT